TATATATATAGAAAAATAATAATAACTAGCAATAAAAAAACCTGAAAAAGAATAGATAATTCCAGGTCTGTCTGCTGACCTTCATGACTATCTCCCCACTGGGCCTGGGGGGTTTTGGTAACTGCTGCCCCTCCTAGCCTGCAGTCTATTTGGGGGGCTCCTCCAGGGCTATGTGGCTTGGCTTTGCTCCCGTTGCTGATCTGCTATGTTCCATCTTGGTTTGCCCCACTGTGGGGAGTTCATACTGGACTCACTTTCCACCAAGTGTCCCAATTACCGTTCTCTGTAAGGAAGTGCTCCAGTGAGGGACATCACGTCTCCAGCTGTTGTTGGCCCTGCAGTCCTGCCTACAGAGACGTTGTCTTTTCCTTCTTTTTTCTTCTTGATTTGCTTCCGTGTGGGTGTGGCAGGCCAGCCCCTCTACCCAACCTGTAGATTTAGTTATTTACTAGATTTTTGAGCAGCCATTTCCTTGGATAGAATCCCGAAATTGGAATGACTAAATCATGAATGTGGTTACTTTTGGGGGGGAGGGGGGACTCATGGAAATTTTATATATAATTCAGAAAGCATTCATTGGAACAAAGCAAGGAGAGATGTGTATCAAGGTTGTATCATTTCACAGTGCCTATCCAATCCTCCAGTGATTCCTTTCCCCCCCCCCATTGATTCCTTTTTTAAAACCGATTTTTGGCATATAATGCACACGCCACACAATGGAATAGCTCAATCACATTGAGAAGAGTTGTACAAGATGCTCACTTTTCCTTAAGAGTTTCTCTTCACCCTCCTCTGCTTTCTCATGGATGCATTAGGGGTCATCTTAGCGTCTCTCCAATCCTTCCCTGTCTTTACAGCCCACCACAGTGGAATTGGTGGTTCCTCGCTTCATGTGCTTGTTTTTCATTGTACAAAACCTGGTGTGTTGTTACCTGCCATGAAGTCAGCCCAAATTCTGGGAGCCCCATGTGAAGCGGAACTGAACTATTGGCCTCAGTGGGGTTTTGATAGGTGCAATTCGGAATTTGATTGCTAAGCCTTTCTTCCTAGTCTGTCTTAGTCTGGAAGCTCCACTGAAAGCTTATTCTACCATCACAGCAATGTGCAAGCCTCCAAATGGGTGGTGGCTGTGTTTGAAATGTTTTGACCAGAAATTGAACCTGGATCTCCCATTGTATGTAAGGCCACAATTCTACTACTGCCCCCACTAAACTTCATGCACTTAGTCTGTGCTAATTATTAGAATTAAAGCACCAATTTACCTGTTCGATAAGTGTTTTCTGAGCATTCCTTTTTTGTGTGGGAAATGGAGTACTGTGATAAACAAGGTAAACATGCCACCCCAGAGCCACCAGTTACAAAAGATACAATCATTGTTACAGGCTTATTTTGTTCATTTCCCTTAGTTCTCACATGGAAAAGAATTAAGGCTAAAAGTGATAGTACAGGAAAGATTTTATAAATTATGCAAATAAACCTACAGAAGAAATATATACTTCCCCCTTTCCCTCATAATGGTCCTGAGAATCCCTTTGCTATTAAATATTCAGTTTAGTGCGCTGACAGTAACAGATTGTAGTTTTATTTCTATAGCAATTAACCTGAAAAGCAACTTGTTTTTTGTAGGACAGCATTTTGAACTAATAAGTTTCAGTTATTCCTTAGACCAGAGATCGGCAGACTGTGGTTCTTCGAATATGTATGGTGGCTTGGAAGTAAAATTGAAAATGAAAATAAAGCTATCAAAGTTTCATTTAAAGAGTATTATTCAGATAATGGTGATTTCATTTGTTTGTAGAAATATATTTATGGATCTCCAAAAATGGTTAACTTGTTGTGAGGGACAGTTTGGCTTTTCCATCTCAAAAGTTTGCCCACCTCTGCCTTAGGCAAACAAATTTCAACTTTCTTCCCTTGTGTAATTTTGTTCACGTCCGCCTTAGTTGTCAGACCCTGCTCTAACAACAGTACCATGAAAGTGACTTTAACAAACAGAAACTTACTCTCTCGTGATTGGTAGGCTAGAAGACCAAATTCACAGTGCCGTCGCTCGAAAGCCAAACTGAACTCACGGGCACAACGTTGATGGCAACTCATAGCTACCCCATAGGACAGGGTAGAACTGCTTCTGTGGGTTTCCGAGACTATAACTTTGTGGCATAGAATGCCCCACCTTTCATTGTGGTAGCAATTGTACAATACTGCTGGTTGTGATTGAACTGTGGAAGATATGATATCTGTATTAGCTCACAATGGTTTGGGGGGAGGGAGAGAAAAGTAGCTTATAACAACAGCTAAAAAGAAAGGAGCAGTTGGTGATTTCTAACTGAATCGCAGCCCGACTCCAAGCTTGCTGCCTCCAGGGTAGGCTTTCTCTGCCTTGGCCTGGAGGAGGGTCCTTCCCTCTGAGCTTCTGGTCCTGGGCAATCTTTGTCTCAGCATCTTGCTCTTAATCTCTTGTATCTGAAAAGAGATGTACTCATATATATCCTACACTAATCCACTCTCATTAACATAACAAGACAACCCCTCATCAATGGGATTATCCAGTTGATTCTGATTCATAGTGACCTCTGACTCATAATAAGACAGAGGAGAGCTGTGCCACAGGACCGCTGTGCCTAGACTTTATGGAAACAGTCAGCCTTATCTTTCTCCTGAAAAGCAGTTGGTGGAATTAGACCAGGAGCGTGTTAGCAGCCCAGCACTGAACCCACTATGCCATCACAGGCATAGCCATTAGCGTTTGCAACCCCAATTTCTAGGGAGCACAGTTCAGTCCAGAACACCACCTGTCAAAGAATCAGAAATAATAAAATTTATTTGTTCCTATTATTTGGGCTTAGGTTCCTGATTATCTTTGGTCTTATTAGAAACATTAATACCCTTTTAACATTTTTAATAATAATAGCAGAAGAGGACTTTCTATTATTAACATATAGGCCATCAGAGAGTGTTTATTTAATTCTTCCTTACCAAAAAGGATGTGTAGTTGTTGTTTTTGCCACTTAATGCTCAGGTAAGCAGTCGTATCATGAGGGGACCTTTTTGCCAACTTAGCTATCTTTCTAGCAGTTTTCTGGTGGCAGTGTGATCTATATATTTCCTCTTAGTGTTTCTGTGATGGCAACTTTGAAGCCACTTTGTAATAAGGTAAAAAACAAACAATATATAGATTGTTATAAGAGCAGTAAGAGCCCCCAATAAAATGATTTATTTTTTTTAAAAACAAACGTTTTCTGTTGTCATGTTCTCTATTAATAGGTTGTCAAAAAGGCAGACATGATCAACAAAAATATGGCTCATCAGGTACAAGCTGAGAGAGATGCTCTGGCGCTCAGCAAAAGTCCTTTTGTTGTCCATTTGTACTATTCTCTGCAGTCGGCGAACAATGTGTACTTGGTGAGTCAATAACTTCGCTCTTTCCTTCATTCAGCAGCTTTCTGAGCCTAGTCCCTGGGATCAGGGTACTTGGGCTTGACTTCCAGATCTGGCATCTACTTGCTGTATGACTTTGGCCAGGGTACCGTACGTTCCTGTTATCTGTAAGATAGAGCTAATAGGAGTACAACCTCAAAGCTTGTTATAAAGTTTCAATAGGCCATTATAAAGCACTTGAACAGAGCCTGGCACATTTATTTAACGATTTATTAAATAAATAGCACACACAATGACAATATTATTTTTAAGTTGGCGAATAATAAGACTGCTACTTGGAAGTGGTGCATGTCAGTGTATGGGCCTTGAAGGAAGTCTGGTTTTCAGGTGGGTAGGGGATAGGGTGACTGTTCTAGTACTTGAAATACCAGTGCATAGCTAATTGCATCACAGTAACCATGAGTTACACAGTATGACAAACTGTCAGGTGAATGGTAGATTTACATGGTTCGAAATGAGGAGCGGTGTGTGTCAAGATTGTATCCTTTCACCATATTTAGTCAGTCTGTATGTTTAGTAAATCATCAGAGAAGCTAGATTACATGAAGAAGAACATGGCGTCAGGATTGGAGTAAGGCTTATTAACAACATGTGATGTGCAAATAACACAGCCTTGCTAGCAAAAATGAGGACGTCTTGAAGCACCTACTGATGAAGCTCAAGGATTGCAGCTTTCAGGATAGATTACAACTCAATGTCAAGAAGACTCAAATCCGCACAAGTGGACCAATAGGTAATATCATGAAATATGGTAAAAAGGTAAAAGTTTTCAAGAATTTTGTCGTGCTTGGCTCCACAATCAATACTCATGGAAGCAGCAGTCATGAGATCAAAAGATACGTCGTATTAGGTAAATTTCCTGCACAAGACATGTTATTCTGGGGTCTAAAGTATGCCTACCCCAAATCATGTTGTTTTTAATTGCCTGATATGCATGTGAAAGTTGGATGGAATAAAGAAGACCAAAGAAAAATCATTTGAATTGTGTGTGGTGCTGGAGAAGAGTATTAAAAGTGCCATGGATTTCTTTAAAAACAAAACATCTCTGTCTTGGAAGAAGTACAACTAGAGTGTTCTTTAGAGGCAAGGATGGTGAGGCTTCCTCTTACATACCTTTGGACATGTCGTCAGGAGAGACCCGTCCTTGGAGAAAGATCATGTTTGATAACAGAGATGCAGTGAAACAGAAGGCGGCCTGTAGGGCTGAATTGAAGAATTGACCCTGTAGGGCTACAATGGACTCAAGGGACAATTGGGAGGACTGCGCAGACCGGGGCAGTGTTTCGATCTGTGGTGCATAGGCCACTCTGAGTTGGAACCAACTCTACGTCATCTATCAACAGCAGGAAAATGGTGAAGATTGTCGATGTTGGGAGTACCAATTCCATACATCTTTCTGATCTCTGAAGTGGTCTATGGATTAAATATTTGATAACCCCAATAGTTGCTGTTTACGATGAATAAATGATTTTCCATGAATGAATGCTTAGGATCTAGTTTTAAGAATGAGGATCTGATCAGTTATCAAGCATCAAAGAATAAAAAGTATTGTGTGCTCATCTCCCTGATGCGATCGCTGAAGACAAATGGGTGCATAAGCAAATGTGGTGAAGAAAGCTGATGATGCCCAGCTATCAAAATATATAGCGTCTGGGGTCTTAAAGGCTGGAAGGAAAACAAGCGGTCATCTAGCTCAGAAGCAACAAAGCCCACATGGAAGAAGTACACTTGCCTGTGCGATCACGAGGTGTTGAAGGGATCAGGTATCAGGCATCATTAGAACAAAAAATAACATCATTGTGAATGAGGGGGAGTGCGGAGTGGAGACCCAAAGCCCATCTGTAGGCGATTGGACATCCCCTTATGGAAGGGTCGCTGGGAGGAGTCGAGCCAGTCAGGGTGCAATGTAGCAACGATGAAACATACAACTTTCCTCTAGTTCCTAAATGCCCCCCCCCCCCCCGCCATCGTGATCCCAATTCTACCTTACAAATCTGGTTAGACCAGGGCATGTACACTGGTACAGATAGGAACTGGAAACAGGGAATCCAGGGTGAATGATCCCTTAGGACCAGTGGTGGGAGTGGCGATACGGGAGGGTGGAGGGAAGGATTGGAAAGGGGGAACCAATTACAAGGAACTATATGTGACCTCCTCCCTGGGAGACGGACAACAGAAAAGTGGGTGAGGGGAAATGTCGGACAGGGCAAGATATGACAAATAATAATTTATAGATTATCAAGGGCTCATGAGGGAGGGGGGAGCGGGGAGGGAGGGGAAAAATGAGGAGCTGATACCAGGGACTTAAGTGGAGAGCAAATGTTTTGAGAATGATGAGGGCAATGAATGTACAAATGTGCTTCACACAATTGATGTATGTATGGATCGTGATAAGTTGTATGAGCCCCTAATAAAACGATTAAAAATTAAAAGAAGAACGAGGATCTATACTTTGGCAGAGCCTGCATTTCCTTTCCCACTTTGATTGCAGTTAAGAATAAAAATTGTTTTCCTAGTATGCTCTCTTGTAACTAACACTGTAGAACCTTATTATGCCACACTTCAACTGTTTGTCCTACCAAATTTTGAAACTAACTATGGAAAAGTATCATATGCTGTTTTAAACTATAAGATTGAAAATTCAGTGTAGATTATAAAAATGTAATAAGCATGGATTTCAGGATGATAGTTCTGGTTGACTCCGTTGTGAGAATTTTCCACCAAGGTTACAGTTTTAGAAACTGGGCCTACAGGGTCATTGTGCATTAAAACTGACTAGATAGCCATGGTTCTTTGAAAGCTATAATGAGTAAATGCAATACATGATCCTGATTTGGTCAGCAATAGGGACGGAAGAGAGACTCTGTAAAGGACAATTGTCAGGTGATGAGTGACACTTGAATGTGGACTATATGCTGGCTCATAGCATCATATGGATATTAAATTTATTGTATTTTTTTGCACTCTAGTTACACGATGGTCTCTTTAACTTTATTTTCAAATTGGTCAGTAAAAAGGAGACGACAGAGAGCCTCGCACAGCCCCACCCGCTGAGCTCAGCTCGCGGGGGCGGGTGCAGTGCGGGGCGGGGCGGCGCGCGCGGAGGGGCGGGGCCTTTGCGCACGGGCCGGCCCCTCGGGTTCAAATGGAGAGGCGGTTGGGCTCCAGGAAGCCTTCCACCTGCTAGCATTCGCTTTCACACTTGCTGTGGGACCGCCAGTCTCGTCTCCCTCCAAATGGACCCCAACTGCTCCTGCAGCGCTGGTGGCTCCTGTGGCTGCTCTGACTCCTGCAAGTGCAAAGACTGCAGATGCAAGTCCTGCAAAAAGAGCTGCTGCTCCTGCTGCCCTGTGGGCTGTGCCAAGTGTGCCCAGGGCTGCATCTGCAAAGGGGCATCGGACAAGTGCAGTTGCTGCGCCTGATGGGAGAGGCCTGCCGGGATGTGACTAGCGCAACATGTCCAAAGCCAAAGATTCTCCCTCAAATGACCCTCACGTCTTTGCTACCTCCTTTTTTGTATGAAATGTATGAATGATAATAAAAGTTGATAAAAAAAAAAGAAGAGAGACTAAACCTGTATATTAATATAAATAGTATTAATTTTATACAACTGTATGTGAAGAGGGAGAAAGAAAACATAGCAAAATCTTTACAATGGCAAATCTAGTCAAAGGGCATATGGGAAATTATTCTAGTATTTTTGCAACTTTTCCGTAAGTCAAACTTTTTTGTTCAGACCAAACCACTCAACTTTTAAAACCACATATATTGACTAAAAGAAACTCCGTGTTAATGTGTATTCATTGTTGCCAAGGAAACCATTGTTATAGACCATGCTAAAAATATATAATGCTAAAATAATACATCTTTAAAGCAATAATATTGTTTTTATTGTGCAACACTTGCGTTTTCCTTTTTGATAGATAATGGAATATCTTATTGGTGGAGATGCCAAGTCTCTTCTGCACATATATGGCTATTTCGATGAAGAAATGGCAGTGAAATATATTTCTGAAATAGCACTGGCTCTAGAGTACCTGCATAGACATGGCATCATTCACAGGTAATGACTGACTTGTCTCTAAACTATTATTTAAAAGTACAAGTAATCAATGTAGTTTATGTTTGAGTCTGAAGTATTCACAGAAAGTGTTTTTCTAAAGTTAAGTACTAGCTTGTAAGAGTTTCAGAATTTTTTCATCTCTTCTTGAGTCTCACTGTGCTTTTTGAATATGTTGCTTTGGTCTGAGGATAGCATTTTATTCTTTAATAATTTATTTCATTTTGTTCTTGATAATACACACAGCAAAAATATGCACAGTCATATTTCAACATGTGCAGTTTAGTAACCTTGATTGCCTTCCTCAAATTGCCCATCCATTCTCACCCTCCTTTTTTTGAGTTCCCGTATATACTCATGTATAAGCCGAGTTTTTCTGCACATTTTTTATGCTGAAAAAGCTCCCCTCGACTTAATATTCAAGTGAGGGTCTCCGGTACAGTGCGGGTGTTCTCCTGTCTCTCCCGCTCATCTGTGGCGCCTGCAGCCGCTCTTCTGCTCCCGCTCTCCTCCAGGGCTGCGGCGACCAATGACGTAGTCTTTACAGTCTTACCTGTGCTTGGTCACGCCCCCTTGCTCCACCCATATTGCTGAATATAAGTACCAGTATATCTCTGGTCTTGGATATACAGTACGTTTATTTACAGTACTTAATCTGCTATATTAATTTTCTTATTAGCCCCTATCTAGACCAGCGTTGACTATGTTTGCATAGAGCAGCCTGTGCCAGGGCTCATAATATACACGCTGCGTTGTGTACGCACTGTGTTACTGCATGTGTTGCGCTAGCACTTCCCATACATATGCAGTAACACTGCGTAAGCTGAATCGCAGTGCATGCAGTAACAGTGCGTACACAATGCAGTGTGTATATTATGAGCCCTAACACAGGCTGCTCTATGCAGTCATGTCATCACATTCTGGAATGTCATCAGCCTGTGTTCGGTCTCAAACTATACAAGCTGCGTTGTGTAGTGTGGTAAGGCAGCATATGTTGTAATGCAGCACATGCAGTAACACAGCGTGTATAGTTATTATTGATACCATATTGTTTTTGTTGACCCTATTTTCCATTTACAGAGCTAGTTTACTATTTTTCTTTGAAATATTCAAAAACATTTAACCTACTGATGCGTCAACGAATGTAATTTTATTGGTATCTATTTTTATTTTGAAATTTACCTGTAGCTGCTGCATTTCCCACCCTAGGCTTATACTCTAGTCAATACGTTTCTCAGGTTTTTGTGGTAAAATTAGGTGCCTCAGCTTATATTCGGGTTGGCTGATACTCGAGTATATATGGTACTCCTCCTTTAGTAACTTGAACTTACTGCCCTAGTCTTTCCAATTGCAGTTGTCATTTTGATCCCATATGGATAGACAATGGGAGAGTATAATGCTCAAAGCAGACAATCTTTACTGGTTATTGTTAGATTTTAAGAAGACTTCACAAAATATTTTCATTTAAGGTTAAAAGATAATCTCAATGCCACATTTTGGGGGGTTGAATTTTCATGCGAGATACAGTGTACCCCTTTCTCCTCTACCATCATGCAGAAGTGCTGCATGTCATAGAACTAGACTTACAAAGTGTTGGTCTGTGGGAAGAAAGTCAGGTGAAATGGCTCTGCTGTATTAAGACTATCTGACGTTACTTTGTATGTGTTTGGTTTTTTTTTACTTGAGGTTTATTTTTATCTAATAGGGCTTATTTATATTGATGAATAACTAGTGAGTAATGGCAAGGGCAAACTGAAATCTAACAGTTAAATTTTTTTAAATGAAGAAAAAGAAAGATCCAAAGATCTTTTACTTTGGTATTTGTTTTTGTTTTTGTTTATTTAAGAGAAAATAAATATTGTTTCTAACTTTCTTTGCCTGAGAACACTAATGTTACCACTAACTCTTTATTAGTTTCCTACTATATTTCTTTTGTATGTGCAGAGATTTGAAACCAGATAATATGCTTATTTCTAATGAAGGTCATATTAAACTGACAGATTTTGGCCTTTCCAGAATTACCTTGAATAGAGGTAAGAAAAATATTCTTGTTAAAATCAAATTTTCAATACTGAATTTCTTTAAGTTAAACTATTTTCTTTGTTAGTCTATATTTAATAGAATTTATAAATATTTATTCCAAAAGGACTAGAATGATTTTTTTTAATTGAAGATAAAAAGTGGTAATAATTACTCTTGGATCTTCAAAGGTTCTTATATCTTTAGAGAGGAACTAACAATTTCTCTTCCTCTATTATGTATCTACCTATTTTTATTCCTACTGAAATTTATTTTTACCAGTCAAAGATCAGTAAAATGACTAAAAAGCTACCATATGATAAAGTGACGATAGCTGGTGAATTTGTTCAAATATATATTACCACCACTGAGACCTTAAGAAACAAGAGTCAGAGAAATTAATGTATAATTTATCATACACAAGGAGACTTGGAAAACGTTGAGAAGATTCCATATATCTTCATTTCACTTTTACATGAACACTTTGTCCCTCCTATGTTAGTTATTGAGTACTGTCTAACCTAAGAATGTGGTTCATTTACTCTTCTATACAGAGCAAGACTCTGTCCTATGAAACTTTAATGGTTCCAAAAGTTTATGGGAAACTTTCATTATCTTTTCATTCCATTTTCCCCTGAATAGATTTCTAATATGGCATGATGGCTTACCTGGGTATGTTTATTTTACATTAGCCAGCTGTAGGTAAGGTTAGTAATATGAAAACAGGAGCAAAACTCAGAACATGTTATCATTGACATAGTGATGACAGCTGACTTTTAGCAGCATCTCATATACTTTTCTTTGTATACCTAGATATCAACATGATGGATATCCTGACAACGCCGTCCATGGCTAAGCCTAGACAAGATTATTCAAGAACTCCAGGACAAGTATTATCTCTCATCAGCTCCTTGGGATTTGTGAGTATTTAGTACTCAATGAGAAAGAACTCACATACCATGGCCTTTCTATGATCACAACTAAAATTTTAAACCCCAACAGTTTCTTACATGTATGCTGAACTTACTTTTTTAAAGAATAAATGACTAAAAGATTTAAATGCTAAGTATGATGAATTACTCTTAGCTTAATAGTTTACCTACTTTGGGGGTATTTTTTATAAAGGTAAATCATGTTTTGTTTTTCCCTATCTTTTTAATAGTACACACCAGTTGCAGAAAATATTCAAGAAGGTACAGATATTCTTTCAACCCTATCTGAAACCTCACAGTTTTCTCAAGGACTAATTTGTCCTATGTCTATAGATCAAAAGGATACCACTCTGTCTAGCAAACTAGTCAAATCATGTAAGTATAAAATGAAAGATATTTTTTCCCATTAAATATGTCCTTTGAGAAACAAAATGGTTTAGAACTTCAAATATTGGATATCAATTTCAATTCAGTGTTCTTGATATATATACATTTGAAATCTCTCAAGTGTATTTGTGATCCTAAAACATCCCCCTCAACCTAATTATGTTAGGTAGGGTGGACTAGAGAGGCAAATCCAGTGACACTCATATATGTGTAAGACAGCATTATATCAAGAAGTAGTTATATATCAGGAAAACATCCCTGCCCAGTCCAGATCAAGTCAGTAAATCCAATATCAGTCCATAAGTCTGATACTAGTCCATAAGTCCCTCTTCAAACTCACACAGCCACATGCATTGATGCAGAATGCAGGAAGATCATAGGCAGTGGTTGAAAAGTCTTGTGGATCTAATGGTGGTGGGCGCATCCCAGGGCTCCAGCAGATCTCTGAGTGGTTCACTAACAGGAAGGTGAAGCAGAGAGAGAGGGGCTGGCCTCCAATGAGCCATTTATCTTGGTCTTGCCTCCAGATGAGGTCATCAAGCTGTGACCTGATTGACAGGTTAAACTCCACCCCTACAGTTTCTTTATCAAGTTGACATGAAACTTTTTAACTACCACACTAATTAAATGACCAAACTGAAGTGAAACAAATTCAAGGTATATGATTGCAAAGGAAAGCTGGTGATGCAGTGATTAAGTGCTCACCTGGTAACCAAATGGTTGGGACCCACGAGCCACTCTGTGGCAGAAAGATGAGGCAGGCAGTCTGCTTCTGTGAAAGACTTTAGCCCTGGAAACCCTATGTGGTTGTTCTGTCACTGTGAATTGGAGTTGACTTCACAGCCATGGGTTCTGAATTTTCTATATTTCATTATTCTAATAGTTCTGAATAATAAATAACAATAGCCAAGCCGGATGCAGAGACATAGCAGAATATAAATGATGACAATATAATAAAAATAGGGTAGAGATACTAACATGAGCAGGGGCCTAGGTACATGAGAATATGTTCCACATTTAGACAACGGGGATTAAATATAATGTGGTCAATGAAAAGCATGTGTAATGGGATATGAATTGGTAGGCTAGTATATTAATCTGGTTGACTAGAGAAATTCATAAGCACTCATATGTATGAGAAAGAACTTTATATACAAGAGCAATTGAATATTGAAAAAACATCCCAGTCCAGTCCAGATCAAGTCCATAAGTTCGATATTAGCCCATATGTCTGATACCAATCAGACTCATGCAACACATGCAATGACACCGAATGCAGGAAAATCACAGGCCAATGGGTGGGAACTCTTGTGGATCCAGTGGCATTGTAAGCATTTCAGCGCTGGCACGGGTCTCCATGTGGTTCCTCCAACTCCAGGGCTCTAGCATAGTTCCATGTGTCTTGTCAACAGGAATGTCTCGCAGGGAGTGAGTGAGTTCTTTCCCCCACCCCCTAGTATGCTTTTTATCTCCTTAGCGGCTCCAAATGAAGTCATCAAGCTGTGACCTGACTGACAGACTAAACTCCACCCCTTCACTCTTAAGTCTCAAGGTGACAACAGATTCTGTAACTACCACAGCTAGACAGGGCAGGAGCCAGTGTGGTTACAGGGATTGTTGAATTTAAGCTATGAGAAATAAGGAGCTATCAAAGATTCCCAAGAAGGGAATAGTCAGATCATATCAGTGATCCAGAAAGAGCTCCTAGCAAATATACAGTTAGCACAGGGCATTGGGCTAGAATTGGGATTTCACCAAATAACAAAATCAGTGTTCATTAAGTTTCAGGAATTCCATGGAAAGGGCCCATATACTAAAAAAAGATTAGGGTGGCCTTCACATTTTTGCCGCTTTTAAAGTTCTAGATGTAGATGAAAAGTCATTTCCACCTTTGTTTGAGACAAAGAAAAGATACATAAAATGCATTTATTGTGATCTTTAGTAAAACTGGTTGTCTTATTGTGTCTAGTTAAAAGTTGAGCAACAGTTTTTAGCTCACACTGTATATTGCATAGAATATTTCAGTATTTATATAGCATAAGGTAATTATGCAATATAAATAGTGAGCTACAAACAGTTGCTCCTCAAACATAGCATGAAGAGCACTGGTGGCGTACTGGTTAAGCGTTAGGCTGCTTACTACAAGGTCAACAATTTGAAACCACCGGCCAGAGAAAGATGAGACGTCCTAGTCTTGTAAAGAGTTAGTCTCGGAAGTGCATTCTGAAAAGGAACGTTAGAACATTTAGCTCCTTGACTTCTCCGGCCAAAGGTACACGGGAAGATGTTATGATTTAGTAAAAATACACTGGACTAAGATTTAGGAAAATTAGATTCAAGACCTTACACTCTATTTGTAGCTGAATGCCTTTAGCTTCCAGAGAGGAATCACCAAACGCAATAGCTGGGGTTTTGTGCTCAGTCGTTCAGAGACCCCCAGGCGATCTACAGCTGGTGACAAAAGAATGCCTCATATGCAGAGATTGGATTCTTCACATATTTACCAGATCATGAATTCCAGGTAATGTGTTTCAGCCTTTACCAGCAGATCACGAAAAATATGGTGGAGACCCACAAACCCCTCAGAATTGCATGTTGTTACCAAGGTAAAAAGTACAGAAAGATGGCCATTTGGGGAAAAGGTACAGTAAAGATGCTTGAATGACCAAAAGCACATACTCCTCAAGTTCATACGAATCCCCTTCAGTGAGTGCAGAACTCACAGTCATGAAACATTTGATAAGGATTCAGCTATTGAAGTTGCCACAAGGCCTTCGGACAAAGGAGGGCACGTCTGACACGTGCGCGCCCCAAGAGCACTGAGGAATTAGTGATGCCGTGGAATCTAGAACCTGTGGAGCAGGGAGGAATTACGTCCTGAGGCCAGAGCACCCTCAGATTTCTAGCAATGTAAATTAGTTTTGTTTAAAGGTGGTGGGAAAGTATTTTCATTAACTATATTTTACCTAACAACCACCAAAATAGTTACAGTCTTCAAAGCCACATGGACAGTTCTGCCCTGTCCTCAAGAGTCGCTAGGAGTCCAAGCTGACTCAGTGGCAGGGAGTTTGGTTGAGGATTTATCTAGCATAAAAGAAAATGTGCCATGTTGTTATCACTACGTTAGATTGTACTTACGGTTCCTGCTGTCTGCCAGTTTACCCTTACTTACTTGTTTTCACTGGTAGTAATGATGGACTCCCTGAGGACATGAATAATTCATCTTTATAGCATGTCAACCTCAACATTAAAATACAACTACAACCAGAAACCCATTTCTGTCAAGTTGATTCCACCTCATAGCGACTGGACATAGAGTTTCTGAGACTGTAAATCTTTAAGGGAGTAGACAGCCTCATCTTTCTCCTGTAGAGCAGCTGATGGGTTTGAACTGCCTGCCAGCCTTATGGTTACCAGCCAACATCTAAGCTGCGGCACAACCAGAGTTCCTTAAAATAAATCTATAATTTTAATTAAATGAAAAATGGAGTAAATCTAGCCTGGTAGTGTAGTTGCTTATGTGTTACACTGCTAACTTCAAGGTCGGCCTTTCAAAACCACCAGCCACCTGCATGGGAGTTAGATGAGACTCTCTGCTGCTCCCATAGTGAGTTAGCCTGGAAAACCCGAAAGGGCAGTTTTGCTCTGTCCTTGGGGGCCTCTGTCAGCATCAACTCACTGACGATGACTTTAGGGTTTTAGCATTGGCCTATACCAAAAGAACCCATTGCTGTCAAGTCGGCTCCAAATCATAGTGACCATATAGACCACAGGGCTGTCTCCATTCCTGACCCCTTTGTGCATGAGAAACTTGCACCATGGGCAAGCATTCCTGGAACCACCTGGGACTCATTCTGCATTTGATTTTGTATTAATTTTCATTGTTCCACATTCAGAAACCTTTTGTTGTTGCCAAATTTTTCGTACTGTCCACATTCAGGGATGCAACCCTACATGGGGCTTTGACCCACAGTTTAAGAAGGTAGGAATGCCCTTTTATTAAGGATAATTTCAAACTGGCTACCACGTTCTCAGAATTGGTCTGCTCCGAATTATAAATCTTTTCCCTTGTGCTGATTTTGATGTTTCTAAATCTGAAGGGCTTTTTTGGTTTTAGTGTCCAGGGCAGTACTCGCTCGTGTTTCTCACAACTGGTATTCCTAAACATGAGAAGCATGCCAGGAAGACAGGCAACCGTGCGTGTGGATTGAATAGTTTACGTATCATGCTGTGCGAGATGCTATTCTTTGATTAATTGTAAAGATTCAGATTGTGAACTAAGACAGGTATAACATAAGCTTCCATGTTTTCTTCTCCTCCCATAGGTCTTGAAACAGTTGCCTCCAACCCGGAAGCGCCTGTGAAGTGTCTGACTTCTAATCTACTCCAGACTCGGAAAAGGCTGGCGACCTCGAGTGCCAGTAGTCAGTCCCACACGTTTCTCTCCAGTATAGAATCAGAATACCACAGCAGCCCCAGGTGGGAAAAGGATTGCCAGGTTAGAATGAATTTGGTCTTACCTGGAATCAGCAGTTTGAAGCTACCAGCTGCTCCGCGGGGCAAAGACTGTAAAGCTTTAAAGTCTCAGAAACCCTCAGGGGCGGTTCTACCTTGTCCTATAGGGTCACCATGAGTTGGGATCAACTCAATGGCAGTGAAGGTTTTTTTAGAATAATTATGTATATCATCAGATTGATAAAAACGCTCATATCTACCTTTTCATGTAAACTCTGTAAGGAAAAGTAATTCTTATAGGAATGCCAAGATATTCTTTAAAATTCTTCAGTTTCTTACACATTCTGTCGAATTCTTTTGAAATATTCCATTTCTCAATCAGATATGAATTTGTTCTTGGTTGACTATATTCCAATTTTTTTAAATCCTGATAGTAAATTGAAAGATGGTGCTGCAATAGTTTGTTGGTTTGTTTTTTTTAATTCCAATTGGCTAGATTTGCTACTTATTTTTTTGTGTTTTAAAAACTTACATGTTATTTAAAATTCATACTATTCCCTCTACACTGTTTCTCCCTCCAGCTTAGAATTTAACAAAACGGTAACTTCTGACTCAGAAATAACTTTGAGTCCACAAAGAGAATATAGGTACACCTTTAAAGTACCTCTTCTGAGGAAATCACTTACTCAATGAATACAATTACTTAGTTACTTTACTTAATTTATTATATTTTTGCTCTTAGTTATTGAAGCTCATGCATACTGATAGGAACTAAAATTTTAAATTAAAGCTTTCCTTATGATTAAACAGGGTAATGTTAGATTAGAATTATGGTAAAACAAAAACAAGCCTTCCCCTTCAGAAAATACCTTATTCTCAGTTAATATACTTTCCTTCATTATGGTTAGATAGCTGTATTTTAGGAGTAGAGTCCATTTTTAGTTAAGCCAGGTTTTTAAAATCTTCCTCCTTCTTGTAGACTGCTGTAGAGGTAGAATATGCTGCTGGATACACAGGTTTCCACTCTTAGCATTGTCAACTCCATCTCTTTCCTATTCAAGAAGATACATTTTGTGCCATTTTAAATTATCCACGACTCTACCTTTCTCCGCTCACTTCTGCACCTGCGGAAGGCAATGATAGGATGAGAGCATTCTATATGTAATGTGCCAAAGTTACGACACAGTTCTCAGGTTATGGCAGAGGAGTGTCGGTGAGCCATATAGGATTCCTTGATAAACCTTGTTGTGATCCCCAAATGCATCATTGTCTGTGCTTTTTGGATCTGTGACTTAGTGTGATAGTTATTAAAATCTGCTACTCGTACCTCAAAATTAGGTGTGATTAGAGTTTCTTGAGGACTCAATCTGAATAATCTTTTAAAAAACCCTAGTTTCCTGCACCAGTTTACAGTATTCTATCAAAGCTCGGTTTATGCCTGAGCACCTTCAGAGAGTTGGAATTCAAATTCCTTTCAAGGAAAGCATTTTGTCCTCAAGGCATAAGTTCATCTTGACAATGGGTTTTGTTTCCTATTGCTTTATTTAAGTATAAAATCTGATTAGTTTAGCTTCATCTTTAGCAACGTTGTGTGTGTGTGTGTGTATAAATATGTATTGCTACACACAAACACACACACACACATTTATAATTTTGGTCTATGAATTCCGACAACTAGGCTTCAATCACCATGCTTTTTTTAAAGAAAACATTTTACTGGGGAGCTCTTAGAGCTCTTATAACAATTTATACATCCATTATGTCAAGCATATTTGTACATTTGTTGCCATCATCATTCTCAAAACATTTTCTTTCTACTTGAGCCCTTGGTATCAGCTTCTCATATTTTTCCTCCCTCCCCCAGCATCATGCATTTCATTTATTTATTTTTATTCTTTGCACCGTGCATTTTATAATTCAAAAGGGCGATAATGTACATAATGTTTTCTTGTCCAAGTTTACTTGTAAACCTTGCCTGTTAGTTTGCCCCAGAAGGAACATATTGGTTAAGAGCTCAGCTGCTAGCCAGAGACCTGCCTGTTGAACCCATCAGCTTTCGTAAGCTTTGCAGCCTTAAATGCCTGTGGAGCAGCCCTGCTCTCTCCTATGGTCTGCTGCGAGTCAGCATCAACTCAACAGCAGCGAATATTTGGGTTTTAGTTTCTCCTATTTCGTAATACTCTACCATAATAAGTATTTATCAAAATACTCTTAACAGAATAATTCACTTAAATTTTACATTCGTGTTTCACTCAAAATAATACGTGTAGATGTGTATTCTAGTTGTTTATTTTGCTGCTTCATTCTGTTTCACTGGAAAGTGAAAAGAAGTAGTTTAGTGGCTACTGAGGCCATCATCACGTCAATACACAAAAGCCAACAAAGTTTAAGAATAAATATCAGCTTTAAAAAAAAATCATTTTATTAGGGGCTCATACAACTCTTATCACAGTCCATGCATACATCAATTGTGTAAAGCACATTTGTACATTCATTGCCCTCATCATTCTCAAAACATTTGCTCTCCAAATATCAGCTTTATATAGCTAAAAATAAAACATTTTGTCCCCTCCCAGGAAAATGATGAGACACTGGGTTTGAAAATGATGAGTTCGAATGCAACTGAAAATCCGGCCTGTACAAAACCTGCGAATGTCATTGAGAGCCGAAATGTCAACAGGAAGGACCTCGAGTTAGGCCTTTCTCCCATTCACCCCAGCTGTGGCATTCCTCATCCTGGAGATGCTTGGCTGGATGTTGCTAAAACATGCGCCTCTGGGAAAGATTCCTGGGAAGCCAGAGAACTGGCTCCAGTAAATAATATTAACACGCCCAGTGCCACAGGGCAGTCTGGTTCTCATCCATCGCATCAGTGGGACGTGGATTCTGGCAAGGTGACCAAAGAGCACCTTGAGAAAAAGGGTTTTAAGAGACATTTTGAGTTGGTTGATACCAGTCCTTGCCAGGAAATCATACAGAATAAAAAAAATTGTGTAGAGTATACCTGTGGTAGTGAAATGATGGAGTGCCGTGCAAACCACAGCACTGGGCTAACAGGCGAAGTCCAGGACTTTCAGATATCAGTGTACAGAAGCCCGCTCAATGACGGTGACAATGAGGAGAACATTGCCAGCCCTTTTCCTGATAAACAAGAAACACCAGAAAAGGCACCTACCCCGATGATAGCAAAAAACCTGCTCTGTGAACTGGACGATGATTGTGAAAAGAACATTAAGAAGGATGACTTAAGTGCTAGTTTTTTGGGTTCTGATGATGAGAGGGCGCCTAAAGGTATGTATGCGGATTCTGATACCTCTTTTCCTGGGATTTCCATAATGGAAAGTTCGTTAGAAAAGCAGTCCTTCGATCTAGACAAAAGCATCAGAGAAGCCTCTTTTGAAGAATCAAATATCACAGACCGACTGATGGTGTCACCGAGCCACCAAGAAAATGCCCTGCCAAAGGGTGACGAGGATCCTGCTGCCCAAGACAATAATGGGAAAATGTTTGCTCCTTCTTCAGAGGCGTTAAAAACATTAACCATCCCTAAAAGGAATGTGGTAGCGTTTCAAAGTTTTAACAGCCACATTCATGCATCCAATAACTCTGAACCATCTAAAGTGAGTGTGACTTCTTTAGATGCCATGGATACTTCGTGTCCTTACAGTGATTCCTATCCCGTGGCTCTAACCCCTAGTCAAAAAAGAAGTTCCTCTCTGCCATATGCGGTATGTTATAACTTTTCTACACTTTGTTCTTTGAATTTGGGAAAAATTAAGGCAAAGCACTTACCTCTCGACTGTATCTAATATATGTTTTTCTTCTTTGAGAATCTGTGGGTTTAGGGAGTTTTAAACACTGAAAGATAAAGCTGGAAGTAATAATTATTATTTTATTTCCTAAGTATATGTGTCAACTGTATTTATTAATAATATTTATGCATAGCTCTTTTTAATTATCCAAGAAAATGCAGTCACACATGTTTCACTTGATCGTAGCAATGCTCTGTGATACAGAATCACTTTCTCGTCCACCTCACTGTCTCCTAGGACTTACTAGGAGAGCTCTTCATAGGGAAAACGTTTAAAGCTCTGTCTTTCAAATCTCATTTTGCTTTTATTGTCTATACCTTCGACCTTTCTAAATATCCACAGTTTCATTTATTTTTTTCCTCACTTTGTAGACTCCATAATATAAAAAGATGTGAACATTTACAGGTTACGAGACTTGGGTTTCCTACTGAAAGCTTAGTGAGTGATTTAGAAGTTCCTTTACTTCAGAGTTTCCATATTGCCGTAAGCTTCCATATAAGGGGTCATGGTACCTGTCGCGTTAGTGTGAGAAACAAAGGGATCCTTCAAATTTTGAGGTGCCATTTAGTGTAAGAAATAATTTAGACTTAGTCCGGCCCTCATTCAATTCGTCAGCAACCGCCTCCCTCACGGCTGTTAGCCCCGTGGCTGTGGAGTTGCCCTCTTTAGAGGGGATTTCTCTCCCACTGAGAGGTGGGCGGGTTCGAACCGCTGACCTTTTGGTTACCAGCCAGTCCCAGGTCAGTGGCTGTTAGGCTCGTGGCTAATGCATGCTACTAAGGGGTTCTTCCTTATAGATATCATGTATGGTTTGTTCCTTGCCTGTATAGATCTTACTGAAATGATTCAATACTCTTACTATTGAATTTCACTAGCTACTAGAAATTTTCACAATTATAAATAGTTATGAGTTCATATTCAAAAGTGACTAAGGAAGAATTTGATAGATATTTTATGCCCGGCAGTCTAGGGCCTATGTTTTCTTTAATTTCTGCATTTGTTTGTGGCCAAACGAATTAAGATATGTGTTGTCTTTCATGCTTCTTGTAAATTAACAGACCCCATGTCAGAACAAGTCAGGAACACCATTCCGAACACCAAAGAGTGTGAGAAGAGGGGCAGCCCCAGTGGATGATGGGAGAATTCTAGGAACCCCGGACTACCTGGCACCTGAGTTGTTACTAGGGAGGGCCCATGGTAAGAGATGCATGACTAGAATTTTTGACGTCTTATATATCTGTGAGTACAGTAAAAAAGAATAATAATTTTTTGAGGTAAAATTACCTCAAATTTCTTTGGTATTTAGATTGCCTAAAATAAAATTAAGTAATTCAGGTAATACTCTTTTATGATATGTGTAATATTTATTGTGGGAAATGAAAAAAGGAATGGCTGTCTTAGTCTCTGAATGTGTAAGACCTAACGTGGAAGAATATGTAGCAGTCTGTTCTTGACCTTCTCATTCAGCCTCGGGAACTCAGAGAAGCCCCACCTCTCGCTTTCTTTGGCCCTTCTTAAATTACTTTTGTTCTCAAGTTTTCCCCAGTCTGTTCTAATACATGTTTAGGGAAGCAAAGTTAGTGTAAACTTATGTTCGATCTTTTGAAGCCTATCCTAGGTAACTGTGCTCTCATTTATCCTCTCACCTGAAGGGTCGAACTAGAGGTGAATCATCCTTAAAAATGGAACACTCTTGAAAGAATGAAAGGAGGTCATTTTACCTGTCCTCCCATCCAAAAGGAACAGTCTCCTGAATCTTGATATCAAGTACTTATCTGTTTCTTGGCCTCTTTTTATGGTTTTCTATCTCAACCCCTGTAGCCCACATACACACCTTGCATTTTTATTTCTTTGTGGGCTCATTTACTCCAAAAATGTTACCAACCTTGTTCCCCCTTACTGCCTGACTTTTCAAAGGTTTCCTTGTTCCTTTGTCTGCTTATTTTTGCTCTGATGACCTGATGGTTAGCCTCAGTATGTAACTGAAACCACTTCTTTACTGTGCCCTTATAAATATTATACACCGATGTCCTTGCAGCCCAGTCTACTGGTCCTTTGGCCATCTAATTCTTCTTGCCCTATTGCTTTCCTCGGTGTTCTTGTGGCTTCAAGATTCTGCCCTCGTTTTCTTCTCTGCATGATCCCAGTTAATTTCATCACTCAACTTCAGTTGGCACCTCCACATTGATGATTCCCAAATCCCTCTATCTCTCATCCTGGCTTTCCCTAGGCAGCCAACCCGTGCCCAACACTACCTACCCAGTAGTCTATTGGTCTTTCAAATGTGTGTCTCAAGGCTGAGCTTATCAACAAGCTTCTCATCCTCTGTTCTCTACCTCAGTTTTCCCCACTTCAGAGTGACATATTGTTGTACTAGGCAAGATCAGTCCACACCCCCTTATTGATAATTAAAACCTTCATTAACAGCTGGCTTGAGAGGGGGCTATAGCCCAGGAAAAAATTACTCTCAACCCCGAGCAAAGAAAACATGCGTCTTTATAGTTAAGGCAGAGGGCTGGCTTAAAGGGAAGGGGGGAAATATAGGCAGTTACATTTTTGATCAGACAGGCAGAATACCTGAAAGTCTGCAGACATCTAGAGAGATTCCAGGTGTGTCAGGAGTTCCTGGAAGGGAAAGAAGTGGGTTAAGAGCAGCTGGCTACTAGCAGGGCATTGAAGGTAGTTTAAAACAAAATGAAGTTCCTTGAGCTAAGCTAACTATATAAATCCAATTAATTTTGCTGTAAGAATTTCATCTTACAGTCGAATTATTTTATTAGCTTTCTAACTGGTCTCTTTAATTTCAGCCTATTGTCTATCATAACGTCTCCAGGTTTCTCTTTCTAAAACAACGGTTCATGCCACTTCCTTCCTCCAAAAGCTGTGCTACCTCCCTCCCTCTTCTTACCTGAAAAATAAAATCAAAATTACTGCACAATGCATCTTAGATAGATAGATAGATAGATAGAGCTCCGACATCAAGTATACCTCTTCTCTTGAAGAACCTCTATTTGCCTGGTTTCCCATTGCATTTCGTAAAATACACTTATTCTCGGGTCATCTTATATTGCCTCAGTTTAGGAAAGCCAGACCAATAATTTTCTATGAACTGTCTTCTGATCTTATCATCACCTTATATATCACCTTTTCCATAAAGCATCCCTTGACCAAAGATGGAGAATTTGTTATTCATTCCTCTATCACTTCATTAGAAACTGCTTAAGGCATCTCGGATGTCATTCTTCCTCTGTTGGAATTATGTATAAATATGTATCTCCACTACAAAGCTGAACAGGATTTCTTTCTTTTTTTTTTTTAATTGGGGGCTCGTACAACTCTTATCTCAATCCATATAGCCATCCATTATGTCAAGCACATTTGTACATTTGTTACCATCATCATTTTCAAAATATTTTCTTTCTACTTGAACCCTTGATATCAAGTCCTCATTTTTCCCCTTCCTACCCTCCCTTCCACACGAATCCTTGATAATTTATAAATTATTATTTTTTCATGCCTTCCATTGTCTGATGTCTCCCTTCACCCACTTTTCTGTTGTCCATTGCCCAGCGAGGGGCTTATATGTAGATCATTGTGATCAGTTCCCCCTTTCTACCCCACCTTCCTCTTCCCCTCCTGGTATCCCTACTCTCATTATTGGTCCTCAGGGGTTTATCTGTCCTGGAATCCCTGTGTTTCCTGCTGTGATCTGTACCAGTGTACACCCTCTGGTCTAGCCGGATTCGTAAGGGAGAATTGGGATCATGATTGTGTGTGTTTGGGGGGGGGGGCATTAAAGAAATAAGGGAAAGTTGTATGTTTCATAGGTGTTACACTACACCCTGATTGGCTCGTCTCCTCCCCGAGACCCTTCTGTATGTCCAATTGTCTACAGATGGGCTTTAGGTCTCCACTCTGCACTCCCTCTCATTCACAATGATATATTTGTTCTTTGATGCCTGATACCTGATCCTATCAACACCTCATGATCACCCTGGCTGGTGTACTTTTTCCATGGAGTCTTTGATGCTTCTCAGCTAGATGGCTCCGCTTGGTTATCTTCAAGCCTTTAAGACCCCAGACACTATATCTTTTGATAGCCGGGCACCATCAGCTTTCTTCATCACATTTGCTTATGCACCCTCTTTGTCTTCAGCTATGGTGTCAAGAAGGTGTGTGCATCATAGAATAGAGAACAATAGAATAATAGAACAAAGTGTTCTTGCATTGAGGGAGTACTTGAGTAGAGGCCCAATGTCGTACCTTAATACTAAACATATAAATATATGCACATAGATCTATTTCCCCATCATCATATATAAATATATTTACATATGTACATGCCTGTATTTAGACCTCTATAAATGCCCTTTGCCTCCTAGTTCCTTCCTGTGTTTCCTTTTACTTTCCTCTTGTCCCACTATCATGCTAAGCCTTCATTTGGGTTTCAGTAATTCCTCTCAGTTACTTTACCCTTGATCAAGTCCTACCAGGCCTCCTATACTCTCCTTGTCATCAATTTTGGATCACTTGTTGTTCCCTTGTCCCTGAGTTTATTATCACCCTCTTCCTTTCCCCGCCTCCCCCTCTCCCATCTACCCCAACCATTGGTCCTGTTGTTTTCTCCTCCAGATTGTTTATCCTGCCTATCTTATCTAGATAGACCTGCAGAGATAATAATATGCACAAAAAACAAGACAGCAAAAGAAAACAAAACAATAACAACAACAAAAAAAGAAAAACCTATAAATAGTTCAAGGTCTGACCTTTCCAGTGGAGTGTGATGGGGTGCCATGCCCTGGCCCCACAGTCTATTTTTGGTACTCCCTCGGGACTTCCTTGCTCTGTTCCCTTTGCTGTTCTGTTGCACACCCTTAGTGTTTTGCCTCGGTGTGGTGGGGTCAGATCAGGTGCAATTCCAGCACAGTGTCTCCAGTGTTGTTCCCCATAGTGCTATGGGTAGGGAGGGACGTCGTGTCTTGTGGTGGGGCCAGCCCTCTGGTGCTCTCTGTGCTTTGGCTGCTCTGAGTAGGAATATCGTCCTTGGGGCTTAGCAGGCCAGGATGTGTTCCTCTCCCTTCGTTTGCTCCTGTGGGCTCTGATCAGACATGTCCCTCTCCGTGAGCTGTAGCTTCAGTGCTATCCTCTGAAGTGAATTATTCAGCGGGAAGTGGGCATTGTCCACATAGCTGGGATTGGAACCGGCCCCTCAGACCTCGCTATTGATTTCCTGCTTCATGCCGGTATGTTGCATTCACATCTTGGAGCACCGAGTTGAAGTCTGGTCCCTCTTTTCCTGCAGAGATATAAACAATCCCCTCTCCTTGGGTGGGTTAGTGCCCTGGAACAGGATTTCTTAAGAGCAGAATATGCATTTTCTGCCTTCTATATAGCAGAATTTTTCATCCCAGAAAAATTCCTTAGAAGCACTCAATTACCATTCTTAACAATCTTCCCAATTTTAGAAAACAATTGACCTATTTAATATTCCCCTTTATTAGCCAAAGCAATTAATTTTCTGTGGGCACTTACTGATGGTTTTTTTCACAGCACCCATTAGCTAAGTCACAAAAATGCTAAAAGTCTGCCCAGCTCCTATATTATAATTAATATCTCACCTAACTTAGGGTACATTATAAAAACATAGAAACAATTATGAGGATGGCACAAGTCCTAGCTCTATTTCATTCTCTTAAACTATGAGTCTCTATGAGTCTGAACTGAGTTAGGCAGCACCTAATAGCAACCTGAAATTAGGTTTTGAATTTAAACATTTATTTTATAGACTTGTGATACTATTTGTTGTTTTAGAAACTACCTAGCAAACTAATTTTATAGAAAAAATATATAATTTAAAAATATACTGTTCACTATATTTCCCCCAAATTTCCCCCTGCCCCCAACTACCACTCCCCAAGACCATCACTTTTTTTTTTTTAATCATTTTATTGGGGGCTGGTACAGCTCTTATCACAATCCATATATACATCCATTGTGCCAAACACATCTATACATATGTTGCCATCATAATTCTGAAAACATTTTCTTTCTACTTGAGCCCTTGGTATAAGCTCCTCGTTTTTTTCCCCTCCCGCCATCCCTCACCCTAAGACAATCACTTTCAACTCAAACTATCTCTTCTGTTTTCTAAATGATATACATATGTATGGAAATTTTTTGCTATTTCTTTTTTAAAATATTACACAATAACTTTTGGAAGATGCACGTGCAGTCTCTTCTCAACTCCTTTCCCCACAAAACTCTGCAGGTTCTTTTAGGTACTAAACTTACCAGCCTGTTTTGCTCTAACCCCATCTGCCTTCAAGGCTCAACTCTCATATCCCATTATGTGCAACAAGACTGCGAATCTTAGGAACCTACATAATTTCCTCAGATACACCTTGTTCTGTCTTACCTCTGTGCTTTTACTTCTGTTTTCCTCCTGTATAACTAACTCCTAATTCTTAGAAGCTTAGGCTTAGGTAGAAGTTCTCTGATACTTCCCATAGTCTAGCTTCTTCAGCCAGGCTGACATAGGCACTCTGTCCTGAGTTGGCATAGATTCCGCTGCTTGTTTTTGTTTCAGCTTTTAACATTGGGCTTTAATCAATCATATCTCTCAGTGTAGCCTGTTTACTCTTTAGGTAAGCTAGTTTTATTATTCTTGTTGATATCCTTGATGTTTGGTGCAATAGTGGGATATCTAGTTCAATGAATGATGTAAGATCAAACTCATCATGTTAATATACCGCTAACAACTTTTTCCTTCTGTGCAGGATTTCTGAATTCGGGTGAGTGAGTGTCTTTATACAATACTATCGCAAAGCATATTAAGTTGAACAAAGTGTAACTGGATCACAGAAAGAAAGAAAAAAATCTCCTTTTCAGCTCGCTTATGATATACAGACATGAACTGTCTTCTGTCTTCTGGGCAGAAAGACTATCCAGAAAGGTTGCTGTTCTCTATGAAAAGAAATGTAGGCATTGGTATTTTTTAATAACTTCTAAGATTATCCTAAAGATATACCTTCTGTATTGCAACAGGAAGTGCCTTGATTAAAAGATTAAAATTAGTAGTTACAAAAGAATTTTCTAAACTTTGTAATTCCATTAGGAAAATGTAAACATATCAACATCAATCTATCTTTAGTCATAGAGGTAGATTTTAATAAGGAAGCCAGTAGTATAAAACTTTTTTTTTTCAATTTTCTCTAGCAAAAAGTATATATTACAATGAGTGGGAGCCATCAAAGTATGTGATCTTGTTAGACTTTGACGCAAGTATATGGGTATGTGTGACATATCCATGGAGAAATTACATATATTTACAACATGAATACATTTTGGCTGAGTTGGGAAAAGGGTCCTAATTGCTAACTTAAGTAAAATACATAGAAATAAGCTTCTGATTTTTCCCTACTTCCTTTGTAATCCGGCTAGTGCCTTTTTGTGTTTTTAACCCACTGGAAGAATTCTTTCTCAGTGCTACTTAGAACATCTACTAACTGTGGGGGCTTACCTGTTTTTATAGTAATTGCTAGGTCAAAAGAAACCCATAGACAATTTGCATTTTATATTCCTTAAAGGGCAACTGGGATTAAGCGGTTTGCTGGTGAAAGGTGCTGCCAGTGCATGCAGTCATTTACCTGTGGGCACAGTCGCAATTGTATGTTCTACTTGATGTGAATAAAATTTGGAATGATATATGTATTAAATCCCAACTTATAATAAGAAAAAGGAGAAGGAAAATAAAACCTGGCCCCTAATTACCTCCTCAAGCCATGTATTAGTGAATAGTTATTAATTTACCACTTGTGCTCAAGAAAATGGAGCCCTGGTGGCACTGTGGGTTCAGATTTACCTGCTGACTGCCAGGGCAGTGATTTAAACCGACTAATCGCTGCTTTTCAGAGAGGGCTGAGGCCGCCTGCTTCTGTAAAGTTTGACAGTCTAGGAAACCTTACGAGTTTCAGTAAGTTGGAATCCACTTGATAGAAGTGGGTTTTATTTTGTTTTGGGGTGTTCTAAAAACACTTTGTAATTAGGGCTCCCATAGTTGTCCAGATAGCTTCCAATTAGTATATGTTGTTACCTCATCTCATACCTGCTGTGGAATAAGTAGAATGCATCATAATAACTTAAGTGCTCTAATATCCTAGTTTAAATTTTGAAGTCATCAAGTTATATAGAGAAGACTCGTTAAGGTAGTTGTATTTTTTGGCTGTTTTAGGATATAAAACATAAGAGTATTCGGAATACCAGAAACTATTAATAAAGGATTAACTTTAGGTTTTCGACAACTAGCAGTGGTAGTTGCTAAGTCAAACTTCTTGGAAAGTAACGACAACATTGCTAAATGGAGGTAATTTGACAATTTTTGCTTTTTTTAACCCCAAAAGGCAGCCATGGTGCTCAGCTCCTAACCCAAAGGTTGGCAGTTTGAGCCCTGCAGCATCGCTGCAGGAGAAAGATGAGGCCGTCTGCTTCTGTCAAGATTGCAGCCTTGGGAAACTTAATGGGACAGTTCTACTCTGTCGTAGGTGGATGCTGTAAGCCAGAACTAACTTCTGGTATAACACCAGACAAAAGCCCTCGGAAATGAATGCCTTAATTATGCACACATCAGTGTGCTAAAGTTTTCACCTAGGAAACATTTGTAGAAAATGTCTGCAAGTTCTTTCTGTTCAATCCCAGGTCCGTCAGTAGACTGGTGGGCACTTGGAGTTTGTTTGTTTGAGTTTCTGACAGGAATTCCCCCTTTCAATGATGAAACCCCACAGCAAGTATTCCAGAATATTCTGAAAAGAGGTGAGTCTGTCTGTCCCCTTAAAGTTAATTTATTCATCATTTGTACCTATATATTATTTTAATCAACGATTAACAAACTTGTTGGTATATTTATATTTATAGATATCCCTTGGCCAGAAGGTGAGGAAAAGCTATCTGATAATGCTCAAAGTGCAGTCGACATACTTTTAGCCACTGATGTTACAAAGAGAGCTGGAATTAAAGGTAGGGTGTTATATTACTAGACTCTTTGGCCCCCAATTTTTCCAAGCTCTGGTTATTAATAATAATATAAAATTCTAATATACAGTGACTGGTATAAAGATCATTCTGTTGTGTTTTTTTTTTCTTTCTGCCATCCAGGTATGTATTGATGGATTTGTTCAAATTCTATATTAAAATTCAATAGTCTAGTTGTAATAGCATTCATTGAAATTTATTAATCTCAAGAAAACTACCTGAAAGAATCTTACCTTGTCAATCTTAAGTCATTTCAACTCAGATCCAGTTAACCACCAGCAAATGGAAGAGAATCTTCTTTTTTTTTTTAAAGGAATCTTTATCAAAAGTATCCATTCTGTAATTTCTCATCACTCTTTCTGGTGATGTTTGTGGAAACTGTCTTACAGAGATTCTTGCTCACTCTCAAATAGAGTAAAAGCTATGATCAAGAAGGCTATAAACACCAGTGATTTACCTTGACTTTCCTGATTAAAAAAATGTTAGATCAACCTGAAGCATATTTCAGATAAAAATAATTTTCAATCTATAGAAAAGAAAAATGAGAGAACATTAATGTTATCTAAAACATATTTCATAGTGGCATTCGTTTTTTGTTTTATTTTTAACCCACTGCTATGGTGTCGATTTCAATTCCTGGTTACCCTATTTAGGGTATCCGTGACTGTAACGTCCGGGCACAGGCAGCCTCATCCCTCCCCTTCCAAGTGGCTGCAAACCAAACTTCCAGCCTTGCAGTTAGGAGTCCAACCACCATCCCGCAGTACCACCAACACAAATCGTTTTAAGAACTACAAGTTCCGGTCCATAGTAATATTCTAATGTGCTAACAGAGTGTTGGAATGATTTTCAAATTTTTTCTGTGGGCAGGGACATTTAATGAGGAAAAAAGCTTAAAGCAGTAATTCTTGACTGTGATATATAGATGTGACAGGAAATTTCATGGTCTTCTCATGACTTTAAAAATATCTAAATGTATCCCTGAAGGAACTCTAAATTTGAGTGTTAAAATAATTGTTTATTAATTAAAGAATACCTCTATCTGCTTCCCTGAATAAATAGCTCATCAAAGATGTTTCACGAAGCTATTGAGAAGATGTCATTGCTTTTGCTACATTTCCACTTTTACTGAGTAATGAGTGAAGCACTGTCCTTTGCGTTATAGGATGTTTCCTGCACTCCTGGCCATAGACCTACTGCACGTAGACACCAGTAGCACCTTCCCGCAGCTGTGAAATCAAGAATAGCTCCAGACTTTCCAAATGTCTCTAGGGTCAGAATCATCCCAGTTGAAAAGTTCTGTTCTAAAATAATTTTTAAAGTAACGTATGCTCAGTTACTTATGATGAACAGTGGAAAGACAAGCGCATGCTTTCACTGTGCTTACTTTCACTGTTCTCCCCCTATCAGGCTCTTAGTTTAGTGAAAAAACAATTCAGAGGTGTGATGTTGATGTCTCAACTCATTTCCCCAGTAGAGACGCAGAGACACAGAACTCTTCCCCCAGTACAGAAACACAGGCTTCTTTCCTTCCCCAATAAAGACAAAGATGCAATTCTTTCCTGCTTGTGTAGTTTTCCACCAATAGTTTCCTTAAATTGCTCCTTCTTTTTGAGCTATTTACTGCCTTTATTACCTTTGTTTATTCCATGTGTAGTTTTCTGTCTCCTAGGAATTCTTATTTTTCCCATAGGTCTAAGGATAGGGGAGGTATCTTAACAACTAAATAGCACAGAAAGACTAAAGAGCCTATTTTCATTTTAGTATATAGAAAGAAAAATAGGCAAGGTGGCAGGTTGCAAAAATGTAGTTAAACGGTTGAACAAAGTTTGAGATCTTAAAAGGAGCCCGCCACCATTGCCATCACGTCCATTCTAACTTAGTGACCCTAGAGCAGCACAGAGTCGAGCTGCTCCCAGGGTTTTTGAGACTGTCAGTGTTTGCAGGAGCAGGAAGCCTCATCTCCTCACCTGCAAATCCACCACCACCGTGGTTAGCAGCATCATGCTTAAGCTACAGTGCCACCAGAGCTCCCTAAAAGTGGGAAAAACTCCCTGCTGTCGAGTTGATCTCCAACTCAACTCAACCCAGCGACCTTACAGAACAGGGCAGACCTGCTCCTGTGGCTTTCTGACAATAGAATGCTTTTACTGGAGTAGGATGCCTCCTCTTCAGTACAGCAGCGGGTGGTTTCAAACTGCTGACCCTGCAGTTAGCATTCCAACTTAGAACCCACGATGCCAGCGGGGTTATAAGTGGAGCAGTAGTGTGATGTATTAAGATTCAGGAAGTAACCCAACTGCCACAGGATCAGTGTACTTGTGTTGTGGAGCTTGAGGTCATGGAAGTCAGCCTTGAAGCCCATGTGTCGGAAGTGTCACCAGCATGTACGCTGCAGTCTCCATGAAGGACAGGGATGGAGCATGGGGAGCAGAAATAAATATAGGAGGGTTGTAGTGATGTACACGGGGATGAGAAACGGAGCAGTGATTATGGAAGACTGGTGATAAGGAGGCTGTCTTGGGAAGCCGATAAGTAGGCCAACTTCTTGTCCCTTTGAGTTAGGGATTCTGGGAGGACATGTAGGCAGTGAGAAGGCCAGGCTTCTAAAGGAAAAATCATTCATTCATGTGTCTGTCAAATACAAACCGTGTACTTTTCAAGTGCAAGGTCGATACCAAGCACCACAGTGTGCACCTGTGTGATGTTTGTGGTCCAATAGAGAGAGAGCAGACAGAAGCATCTGAAAACTGCGACCTAATGAAGTAGAACAAGATATGAAGCCTTCTGTTGTTCTTCTAAAGCCCTGTTTGGGTAATAGTCATGATTCTCTGTTCCATGTTTCCCCAAGAGCTGCAACGCCATCCTCTCTTCAGCGGCGTGGACTGGGAGCATCTGCAGCATCAAGCTATGCCTTTTATACCCCAGCCAATTGATGCAACAGATACATCCTACTTTGAAGCCAGAAATAACGCTCAACACCTGACTGTATCTGGATTTAGTCTATAGCACATACATTTTCTAAGTCTGACCTTATGTTATAAGCCTGCATTTTTATATGGTCCTCAATGCTAGATTGGCCAAAGGAAGATAGATGATTTAACCTGGGTCAATGAGCTTTAATGTATGTTACAACCACCACAAACCAGGAATTTAATCTCAAAATGGTGTATAGATCTTCAAAGTTCTTATTTATTTGCCTATTGCACTTTATGAAAGTTAATGCATCAGTAAAACTAGAATGACACTATCACTTTAGAGGGAGGGTGCATACACTTCATGTTCTTGTTAATCTACTGTCAATTGCTCGAGTTTAATTTATTTGCAAATGATTGCCTACAAACGGTGCTTTCTCAAAAAGTCATTTAAGGCTGCATTGTTTTAAAACATTCACATTCTCAAAAAGCAGCCAGAGAAATAGTCACGAGTTGTGTGACTTCTTTCGAGAATGACGAGTGAGCAAAAGGCCTAGGGGTTTTCCAACTCACTTTCCTACGAATATGGTTAAACCAAATTGTGTTGCGTGAGTGTTTCTGGCCTTGCTCTCCCGTCTGTTTTTCACCTGCTCCTGGAAAGCTGAGGTGTGGCAAGCTCAATAGTTTGTCTAAGTTTGGTGGAAATGATGTTTCAAACATGCCACATTGTTATCAACAGCCTAATCCATAAGAAACAAAAATAACTTTGTATTGTGCTTAATATAATTGTAACATACTTCAAGTAGATAATTTGTCAACATCATTTATATGTGTGTATCTTTACAACAAATTTTAACTTGTTAGGTCATATATTAAACTGAGCTTTCAGTATTTAAATGTGCCATTAAGTAAAATTTCAGCTAATAAGATTAAGTAATCTATTAAATACTATTGTTCTTTTTTGCACACTAACCTCTGTGTTTTACCTTTCTTGTGTGTGTGTGTGTGTGTGTGTGTGTGTGTGTTTTACCTTTCATTACCATCCCATGTGGTTGCCAAAGACAAGGATATACAAGTTAAAAAATAGTAAAGTGAAAGACCATTTTAGGCCAGTGTCATATAATTGAATTCATGGTGTTGTGGTTTTATTGAGCTAGTTTTAATATTGGCTACTTAGAATACTAATAAATAACTAATTACTAATAGTTATTCCTTCCAGTAAAACGCTCAAAATAGTCAATACTTGAATATTAAAGACATTTTTTATTAAAATTAAAACTGAATTTAATTTTTAAAAAGGCATCTTTCCTTAAAGTTAGGTAAAATTATAAGATTATAATCTTTTAATGGTATTTTCAAATAACAGAAAGCTTTCAAATCAAGCACAAGTAGGTCAACTCCTTTTACCAGATTAAAAGGCTTTGACATATTAAACTGAGCTGATTGTTCATCTGTGAAATGGAAGTGAATAATGATTACTTTGGAGAGTTGAAATGAGCACGATTAAGAAACATGCTATCTGAAAGTGGCTGCCCAGAATACCAGTGATGATTTCAACTCAGAGCAATCCTACAGGACAGTAAAGAACTGCCCCATTCGCTTCCCAAGACTTTAAATCTTTACAAGAGGAAACAACCTCATCTTTCCCCGAATATGCAGCTGCAGTCACCTGGAAAGCTGTAACCAGGTGAAGAATAGTGTGATGGTGTTTACTATCCAAATTTAAACCACTTAATTCATTTCTCAGCCCGAGTAGTGTAGTGGGTTACACATGGTTGCTAATGGCAAGGTCAGCTGTTCAAACCCACCAGCTGCTCGGTGGGAGAAAGAGCAGGCTGCCAACTCTCATGAAGATTCACAGCCTGGTAGGAATGTTATGACAACATATGCACAAACGTGCTTAATACAATTGAATGATGGATTGTTATAAGATTTGTAAGAGCCCAGCAATAAAATAATTAAAAAAAAAAAAAAGATTCACAGCCTGGGAAGCCCTAGGGAGTTTTACTCGGTCCTCTAGTTTTACTAGGAGTCACAACTGCCGCGATGTTTGGTTTGAATAAACCTTACAGGATGATGTGGGTCCACACATTTGTTAGGGAAACCTAAAGAGAACAAGAACAATGGGAAATGGGGAAGGGTCTGACAGAATATAGAGTCTTCAAAGAACATTGCCTGCCTCTGCCAAGAGAAATTAAAGTGCACCTGTTGCTATACAGGCAGCCCCTAAATTACAAATGAGATTATCTCCTAAACCTGTCTAAGTGAAGTTTTAGGTAAATTGGAGGTGAAATACAAGGTGGCTTCAAAAAGTTCACAGAAAAATTCCATTCATGTTTAATTTTTTCACAAACTTCTTGAAGCCCCTGGGTTCTTATTTAGCCTCACAAATGTCTCAATATAGTTTACCTTTCTATGTATATAAAACTTCCAAAATAACCCAAACTCCCAAAGACATTGAAACATCTTACACCTAACAATATAGTAATAAAGTAACTTCACATGGTTACTTCTCATAGGATACTGAAAAGAGGTTGTGTGTGTAAGGGGGTGGGGGGAGGGTATCCAGTAACGTTAAGCAAAAATTAAACAGTTTTGATAGGAAAAAAAGATCATGATGAAAGACTGAAAAAACTGCTTCCATTGTCTTGAGTGCTACAAGCGAGTCCTAAAATAACATTCATAGACAAAAATGTATCCTGTAAATCTGCCCTCACTTTCGAACACTTCAACACCTGCTGACAACCGATATTTCATCACAATCACCTTCCCGTGCGGTACACGCAGCTTTTGGCTTCAACGGCTTAAGGCCTTTCTTGCACTAAAGGCTACTAAGCATATTATACTGATTTAAATCATCTAATCAGATTAAAAATAGGCTTTCCAGTTCAATAATTAAACCACTGCATTGCTTGCTTAGTAAGAATTGGGGTAGACCCTTTTACATGCTTTATCCTTCTTATTCTAACTTTAAAAGTATCTGACTGTAGCCTAATTATCTGACTACCAGCCTTGGAAACCCTATACAGGTTCACTAGGACTCAGAATCCACTCAGTGGCAATGGGCTTTTGAATGACATGTCACCTCTTTCTGATTGCTTTATTACTTTCTACTCCTTGTCGATGCATTCCCAGCACCTGCATCAGATCGATGCTTTGGAGGCATGGGGTAACTAGGTGGTAGATTTGTTTTAAGTATAAAGTTACACATGCAACACAGGTCTAACAGAAACGTGATCCATCCTACAAGCGTGGATACCTGTCACCTTCCTCAAACTTATGAACCACTCTTAACTGAAGAACTTAATATAATAGGGCTCAGGGTGGGCTATTCTCAAGTATCAGCTGTCTATCGTCAGACACTTAAACCAGGGACTTTCTGTATATAATCTTTAATGCTTTTTCTCCTCACTCTTATTAAATGTTAAATTCAGAAAATGTTTGAAGAGGTATCTGTATGTCCTCGTCTCCTAGTTAGCATACATTGAAGATATTTAATAAAATTTAATTATTTGAACCCTAAGAATTCTGTTCGTTCTTGGAAAATGTGCCTTAATTTTAGGTTTGGGAAATAATCACTATATACCTTTGCCACTTTGTTCCAAAACACCTTGGAAGGCATTGAAGTACAGCTACTCTAATTCCCAAAATGACCACCTATGTTAGCCATTCACAGTCAGTTCAGAAGTCAGTGCAAGCATGTACTATTGCCACAGGCCTCCTTTCAACTAATAGCAAGTCCAGAGCCAAGTCATTCTTCCTGTGGACAGTGAATTGGATGCTGCAATACTCAGAGGCAGGGAGCACATGGGGATTAAGAGGATTGTGAGTGGAAGCCATGAGATTGAGGGACTGTATGAGGAGGCTGAGGGCAGGAAAGAACGTTTGGCATCTCACTTCGGGCTCCAGAGGCGGAGGACTAGGAGCACATGGGGAGATAGAACTTTCACAACCTTACTCATTCTAGGCAGGCCCACAGGAGCCAACATGAGACTGGGTAGTAGCAAGGTTTTCTTTTGTTTTGTTTTGCTGGTTAAGACCTCCAAGTAAGCATTAGCGCAGCGGTGCTCAACCTGGGGGGTCAAACGACCCTTTCCCAGGGGTTGCCTGATTCAGAACAGTAGCAAAATGACAGTGATGAAGTAGCAATGAAAATAATTTTATGGTGGGGGGGGGGGTCCCACCACATGAGGAGCCGTATGAAAGGGTGCGGCATGAGGGAGGTTGGGAGCCGCTGTATCAGAGGGTTCTAGGTGAAAATGCTAGCTTGCAGCTGTTTTCCTTCAAGAGCCCTTTGACAAATATATGAATTCCTTCTATTTATTCTCATTTAATACTTAGTGTATGATCAAAATGCACCTTTAATAGCAACAAGTATTAAAAATCATGTCTCATTAATCATTTATTTTTAACTTAGTTTCACAACAAAGAAACAGAAACGGAGATCATTAAAAAAATTACCATAGTTGTCTATTTAAAATGAGGCTCGTTCACCAAAGGAACAGTACTACACCCTATAATTACATCTTAATTTTTATATACAAGAACTGTGTGCAACGTGCTTTTCAAATTATAAAGATACAAGTGGTTATCCCTAAGAATTAATTACCCCTGGCTGCTTTTTTTTAATGAATCACAACTGTTTACAATCTGAATTTGCACTTTATTTATTTATAGACGAAGAGAAAAGCCTCCATTTTCTGACACCAGATAGCTAATTTTTAAAATAATGCCTGATCCACAGGAGTAAGCTTTATTTTTACATGGAATTCAGTTACTAGATTCTTTTTCTAAACATTGTTTTTAAAAAGCAAGTATCAGTAGATCCCTTTAGATAGACACATACTGATCAAATGAAATTTGAAAGTTCTTTCAAAAAATCAAGTTACACAAAAGGAAAGAAAATCTTGAGGTCAGCATACTGTATCCGTACACAGTTTTCTTCAGGCAAACAGAAGAACCTCCTTTTACGAAGGATGGATTACTTCTTTCTTTCACTCAAAATACCCTGAACACATGATGCTAATCCCAGCATTGTATATAATTAAGAGTGCTCAGAAAAGCCTTTCAATCAGAGAACTTGTTAAAGCACAAGATACATATATATTTTTAAGCAAATAACGTGTGGTGTGTTTTTTGCAAACACCATAAGCCCCTTGCAAATTACGTTTCCTCTGCACAATACATGTATTATGTGCATGTGCTGTGTGTGTTATCTCTATGGGAACACTGTATGTAAAGGAGCCCTGGGGGAGGAGGGATGCTGGAGGATTAAGTGTTGGATCGCTAACTGCAAGGCTGGTGATTCAAACCCACCAGCTGCTCCTCAGGAGAAAGATGAGGCTATTTGCTCCAGTAAAGATTTACACCCTCAGAAACCTGATCTACGTAGGGTCGTCCAGGTGAGTTGCAATTGACTTCATGGCAGTGGGCTTGGGAGTTATTTATACGCAGAAAATACAGGGAGAGGAGTTACACAGTCATAGGTAAGAAGAAGAATTTCCTAAACAAGGTCTTCAAGGAGCTAAAGCAAAGTTTTCTTAGTCTAGAGGAAAGGGCCTGGAATGTTCTTATCCCTGTGGAAGCTTCTGGCTGTCAGCTTGCAAATCTTCCCAATACTCCTAAGAAACAGGTCTATCTCAAATACTATACCAGAAGGGAAAACTGAGGCACTGAGGTTAGAAGTCCAATCTATAGTTTTCCAGTTGCAGAAAAGTCATTTTCATGTTTTATTTTTGTAAAAACAGTATAAAGAAGTTTTTACAGTATATTTGAAAGCACCCTATGAAGCAGAAACTAGATATCATTAGTTCCAGAAAAATGGCTACAAAGGAATAAATGTATTTGACTGGATAAAAACCTTATTTATCAGAGTTCATTTTCTCACCTACTTTTAGCCCATTCTCCCGTTATTTTCATCAGCAGGTTACGGCTGTAAAACCTAGGACATAGGACTCTCCTTCCTAACAGTGCTGCCAGACCCTCGAGTCAGCGTTGTCCATACCCAGGAACCACTGTGAAAACTAGTGCTCTGGATGGTCCACAACGCTTACTGTGGAGAAGAGGCTTCAGCAGGCCGCAACGCAGTGACTACGGAGGCAGGCCAATTTCAGTTCATTTCAGTTACTCCGAGTTTGCATCCTTCCTCACATTTATTTATTTTATTTACTTTTTTAAATCTTCCTCACATTTAATTTAGACAATTAAATACCCACTTAAAAATCAGCTCTCATTACTACAACTGTACCTTGGGAAGTAGCTTAGTTTCATATGGGAAATAACTGGATAAGGAAGTTATCAAACAATAATAATGTTCTGCAAGTTTAAGGATAGGGTAAATCTATGTATGCTACTTTTAACATACTTAAGTTTGATTATTCAAGCATCAGCAAAATTAGACCTTAAAACATTATTTGTGTAGTGCAAAATATATACATGTATGTATGTATGTACACAAACCAAACTACTAGACAACAGAAAAATGTAATCATCACAAACTAAGACATTCTTGTGAATTTAGAATCCATTTCATTCCAAAATCATTCAGGTCCAGTAGTCTTCTTGGGTCAAATATCTTTTCTTCAGTTTAGTTTTCTTTAAAAAAAAAAGAAGTAAAAACAATCTCATATGAGTATAAATGTAACCTAAACATGAAACAAATTCATAACAAATAATTCTCTGAATGATAACACAAATTCAAATTCTAAATAACACCACAAAATTACAAATGGTTATTATGAAATGACTTCATGTGACATACACAGCCCAAGAGGAAGGGCTGAACTACAAAGGGTGCCATGAACAAACAGCTTTAATAAAATAAGGGAAATGAATATTCTTCTTCTCCCATCTTGTAGCTTTTGGTTTTAGAGAACTTTTTTATTGATGAATATAAAATGAACTGTCGTAACATAACTGAGACAATTTAGCTAATGTCATATATTTAATTGGTCTAATAGTTTACCTATTAATATGTAGGCCCTTGGGTGGTACAACTTGTGGGCACTACTAACCACAGGGTTGATAGTTCGAACCTATCCAATGCCCTGCAAAAGAAAAGGCTAACTCCTGGGCTGACAGTTTTCTGAAATGTCACTGCCCATATTTCAAGGTATAGAGAACACATTTTTTTTTTTTAATTAGCAAAAGGCCCAAAATAAGAGTCATACTTTCAGAGTACTTTTTTCATAAGTCACAAATTTTAGAAAATGCAGTAATTTTCCTGTTCTGTAAGATGTTCTTAAGTAGCTTTTAAAAGTCTAAAACATTAGAACATGTCATTTCTAAGGCAATTTCTAAAGATCAGTAATGTTGAGCATGTATAAGTCTATAAATTGAACCTATCAACTAACTGCTACTGAAAGTTGTGTTTACTATGTATAAGATTGAGTTTACATATTACCTTCTTCTTCTCTGATAATAAATATGCACCAACCATTGAACAATAATAGGCCATATAATAGCAAAAGTCAATGCACCAGGAGACATCTGGAAGGGCCACCAGGATGGTCTCTGAGAAAATAAAATAAGCAGGTCACCAATCTATCCTAGACCGTCTGTACCAGCACTAAAAACATCGAATTCCTAATTACAAAAGTATGTAATTAATAAAATAACAAATCTTACTCCTGCTAAAGAAAAGAAGATAATTCTATATTTCAAAGCATAATCCAGTAAATAGATTTTCAGGAGTACTTCAGACTTCAGCAAACACAAAACAAGTATTTTTGAGTCTCTTAAGCTCTGAAGGATGGGCTGCATTAGGAATGCTTTATAAAACCCACATAATTGGAATTAGCTGTAATTTATTTGATTTCAGAGAAAAAAAAAAATCTCTTACCGGAGAGGAGGACTGGCTACTAGCCTGTATTGTTGCCGGGTTTGCCTATAAACACACACACAAAACAATCACACACACACACAAAAAGACAGTAATTTTATGATAGTCTATATTTTATTAAATGACTGAAATATTAGTTTATTCTCTGTTTTTCTGCAAACTCTGCTTCGATTAACCTGAATCCAATTCAACAAATGAGAAGGTCCTTGAAATTGCTACCCTTAAAAAAAAAAGAAAACAAGAAATTGCTACCCTTACAAATGTCTTTGGATCTCCAAGTTTTAGCATTGAAATGATATAAAATTATAAAAATAAGGCCCCTGATTTATCTAAATTCTTACTGCTTTCATGTCCTTGTTAAATTTCCAACTTTTAATTAATCTCTTTCTATATAAACTATCAATTTATCAATATATTTGAGAACTGGTATATTGATGATTAAATAAAAAGTCTAAAAGCTATCTGACATGATCTGTTTGGGAGAGTCATGATGAAGTAAGATGGAGGGGGACTAGGAACAGTAAGAGTGAAGCTATTCGTGTCATAGGTTCCTAAAAAAGGAGTAACAAAAACTAAGTCACACAGTTTTCAGAATAACTTAAGAACTTCTGATTCCAATTTGGCTCATTCCAAATGCAATCTTTAGTTTGTTATTAGAAACTAACCATTCTAGTTTTTCTATGTATTGTTATATTAGCGAAATAGTATGAAGATTGATAAGATCATCTCTTTACTCAACAAATATTTACTGTGTGCCAAATATGTGTGAGTCAGTAATTTGGGGCTTCAGGGAGACAGCAGGGACAAAATGACAGAAGTCCCCAGCCCAGGGGAGCTGGGCGGTGATTATAACTCACACGTGCCTGATTGTTCTGTACACTATGCTATGAGGTAGTGTAGTGTATACATCATTTTATTGTCACATAATCCTAATTCATACAATTTAAAACTTCAATATTATCAAGAAGAATTGTACCCAAAAAACCCAGAATTGTACAATCATTACCACAATTAGTTTTAGAACATTTTCTTTTTTTCATGTTTAAATCGCTTTTAAAATGAGTTGTGTATGGAGATCCCCTTGCAGAGGGTTCTCGGGGAGGAGACGAGACAGACAGGGTACGATGTAGCAATGATGAAAAATACAACTTTCCTAAATGCTTCCTCCCCCCCACTAGCATAATCCCAATTCTACCTTGCAAGTCTGGCTAGACCAGAGGATGTACACTGGTACAGATAGGAACTGGAAA